ATATATATGAAATATATATATAAATCTGAAAAACTCAAGAATCTGAAATATTTGTCCCAAACACTTTGACTAGGGGACACTCATAATGCATGTAGTTCACAGCCCTGTCATCATCTCACTGTCCTCCTCCACATAATCTATGCCTATGTTTCTGAAAGTCCATGCTGTAACAAAAGTGGTCTGACCTATGGGTTCTGTGGGAAAACCACTGGTACCCTTGACCTTCAATATATTTCTTTTAATATTATCAAACATTGTATTAATTTTTTCCTTTATCACCTCTAATATGCTATTAGGTCCTAACGAACATGTGGTCAAAATATTCGACAATCTATTCTACATGAACAAGTTCTGTACAGCTTTAAATTGGCCTTCAAATTCATTTTGGTGTCTGCTTTTCCCAGTGCCTACAATAGGGACTCAGTGGTATTCGGTAGCATGGATCAATGGTGCTATGGAGCTTCACTAATTTAAGGAAAACATAAAGTGTCTCTTAATTGATTTTACATTATCTATTCATTATAGATGGGCAGGGGCATGCCGCTGTTTATAAGTGGAGGTCAGAGGCTATTGACAGTAATCCACTATCTCCATCCAATATGTGGGTCCAGGAGATGGAACTTTCAAGTCTTTAGACTTGATGGAAAACCCATTCCATCTCACAGACCCATAAAGTGTTTTATTTTTTAAAAAAACAACATACCAACCTGGTAGGGGAGATACTGTGGTCCAGAAGGTGATTTTCCCAGGGTAAGGCTCATCCATTGCACTCTGGATGTGTTGACTGCTGTACTTTCCCCAAATGTGGGAATCTTGACTGCATAATTTGTGGAAATAGGGGACTGTGTTCTTGCTCTCCTATGATTAAAAAAAGTAAAAAAAATATTTTGAGAACAAAGACAATTTGAGTCATTTTTTTCCATTCACCCAAATTTCTGTCTCATTCTTCTGAAATTAGGTGTGAGCATGTGACTATGGGCAGTGAAAGGTGGCACATGGTGTGGGCCATTTTAAAGACGAGGAAAAGCAGGGTGTAGATCACCAGGCCTCAGACTGGGCATGAGCAGTATTTTGTGGGGGCTGCTCTGCCTGTGTAGGAGAACAAGCCACAGAAATGCAGAGTGCTACTTGATGACAGGAGGAGCAAACCTTGTTGAACCAGTTATATTTGGAAGCCACAAGGAATAGAGGATGCTCTAGAATAACATACTTCTGAAAAATATTAAGTACCTATAGTCGTAGCACTCAAAAGGCAGAGGCAGGTAGATCAGAAGTTCAAAGTCATCCTCAGCTACATAGAGAGTTTGAGGCAAACCTGAGCTGCATGAGACCGATCTCAAAACAAAACAAAAGCAAAAACAAAATAAGAAATTAAGTTTGATGCATGTGATTTTTTCTTTTTTAAAAAAATATTTTATTTATTATTTTTATTTTATGTGTATGCATGTATTTTCTGCATGTAGGTAAGTGCACCCATGTCATGCAATGCCTACGGGAGACAGAAGAGGCTGTCAGATCTCCTGGAACTGGAGCTATGCACAGTTGTTATCTACCATGTGAATGCTGGGATTCAAACCCAGGTCTTCTGCAAGAACAACCAGTGTTCTTAACTGCTGAGCCATCTCTCCAGCCCATTTTTTTTTCTTTAAACATTCTATCTATTGTGTATATCTGTGATGTATATGGATGTGTACATGCCACAGCATGCTAGCAGAGGTCAGAGGACAACTTGTGAGAACTGGTTCTCTACTTCCATCATGTGGGCTCCTGGGTATTGAACTCAGGTTTTTAGGCTTGGTAGCAAGCACCTTTACCTGGTAATTCATTTTTCCAGCCCCAATAATAAGTACTGCTAAGAAAACTTCATGGTGGATACTATTATATGCCCTCAGTGCAAAAATATCAGAATCTATATAAAAACAAGAAAAGGAAACAAAAAAGGGAAAGAATACAAATGTGTAAATATAACAGCACAATAAAACGGGAATCAGGTTTTAAAAAGAATAAAATAATTCTAATACTGTTAAAATCAAATATTACTTTCAAAATTCAAGACACCTTCAGTTTGTCATAAGGACAGTGGGAGGAGGGGGCTGGACCTTGTTCGCACCCTTCCAGAAGGAATTTTAGCAACTGTAAGATGTAAGGATCTTATTTCATTCTTCTCCATGTAGCAATCTAGTTTGACCAGCAGCATTTATTGAACATGCTGTCTTTTCTCTAATGTGTGGTTTTGGTCCCTTTGTCAAAAATCAGGTAGCTGTAAGTGCATGAACAAAAACATAAAAAGCACACCTCGAGGTGTTAACCTGTTTTTGCATTATGCTTGATTAGTGATAAGGGGTCATGAAATCCACTGTTATATGACCTCAAATCTTCTAGGAAAGAGTGCTTTTTAAATTTCATTTTTGCTTATGAGTGTTTGCCAGCATGTATGTGTACGCACCATGTGTGTGCCTGGTGCCAACAGAGGACAGAAGAGGTCATGAGATTCCCTGAAAGTGGAGTTACAGAAGGGCATGAACTGCCATGTGGGTGGCAGGAAATTAACCTGGATCCTCTGCAACCACAGCAAGCATTCTTAACTATGGGACCACCTCTCCAGCCCTTAGAAAGTGTGCTTTTCACTCAAACTATATGTAGCACACTTTCTTTCCCAGTAACTAATCAACATAGTGGAAACAGCATCTCCCCAAAGGCTATCACATCAATGAAATAGGTTAAATGAGTGGGTAGAGAATCTAATTCACCAACAGAAACATAGCTCCTTTTTCCCTCCTTCCTCTTTATCCTTTTTCCAGACCAAATTCCATTACTACTATAAGTATTTTCTAGTCAACTGTCCTTATTGTCTTTGTTGTGTGATGTCTGACTTTAGTTTACAATTACTTTATTGTATATCATCATTTTTAACTGTCATTATCTTCCCATTAGAATCATAAAATTGTAGGAAAGATTTTATCTTCCAGGAAAGAGGGGACCTACTCTAGGTGTTGGGTCTCCCATTGTGCAACTTAATGTTGGGCTTCCTTCTACTAATGTGTAACCATTAGTCTTCCATGTCCTCCCCGTCCATAGTCTACCTCCTTTATTTCCAAGGACTCTCTGGTAGCCATCTTTTGTTACCTATACTCTGAGAGAAAACTCTATATAAAATTTTTGCTTAAGTTAAAACAGAATTCCATAAATACCAACAAAAGTATTCAAACGGTGAAAAGGTAGGCTGTCTTCACAGCTCTTACCTGCCTTACAAAATTCTAGAAGGTACTGCAGCAACATGAAAGATATGAAAGAAACTTGGAGGGAAAACAACACCAGCTGACACATTCGAAGACAAATAATCTCTGTCCTGTCACGTCTTAAGGAAATCGTAATATAATTCATTTGACCTAACTGTCATTCACTGCACCAGAGTAGGCAAAAAATATTAAGAAGCTCTGAAAATGAATGTCATACCAACTAATAAGATGTAATCATCTTTAATGTTTGTAAATATGACTGAAGCTATAAGAAATCTCAACTTAAAACATTTTCTCTGAATAAGATATGTTTTACAGACTGTATCCTTTTTGCCCTCATACCATATCAGAACAAATATAGGAGGCATCTGGGATAAAGTGTGTCAAGTTACAAATTCCTCATTTTATACACAGACACCCTAAAGGTACTATTTGATTCTTGACTTTTCATAACCAAAAAACAAAAAGAGCCAGAGGAAAACTGTTGAATTTTCTATTTCTTTGGATATCAGTAATCTAATTTGAAACACTGACTTGCTTTATAACATAAAACTCACGAAGAAAGGAGGTGCCCTGCCAAAGCATCTCTATCCAAATCCAAATCCTCTGACTCCATATAACTTCCAGAATGGCTCCCATTTGAAATCATTTCCTTTCTGAGTTTTCTAGCTTCAGGATCAACCTCACTCTGCTTTTTAAAAATGCATTCATCTGAGAAAACCATGCTTTTGCACATATAGCTCTGTTCCCTTGCACTGCCCTGGTTTCCCAGGTGCAATCTTTTTTATGTCATTTGCAAACTGTTGTCTACCAATTCTCCTATAACACAAAGCATACTCCACCTATCAATAGTGCCCATTTGTCCCAAGCATTCAATGTAGGGCAAGCATAAAAGGCACAGTCCAAGTGTTTCTACACCAGTTTCCTATTTCTTCCAAGTTGCTTTGGTACCTAGCCCTTTAACGATGCATATAATGCCAATTTTTTAAAAAAAGTCTTTCCAACAGTTAATAAATACCCCTGCCCTGTGTCTTCACACTAATAAAAGCAATACAAGCCCAGAATAATATTAACAGTGAACAACAGCATCCAGAGACACCACCAGCAGTGTCAGGCAGTGCTTTCTGTGTATAATATGATGTCCATTTTCCTGGACAGTTTTATGCCTCTCAGGCCTTGTACCTGGATGTGTGTGCTAATTTGCCTGCTGGCTTTAATATTTAGTGAGAAGCCACAGCTGACCAATAATTTTTAATAGCTTGTACTCTATTGATTTCAACCCACACATTAAAGGCCTAATAAAAAATTTAAAAGGATAGGTGAAGGGACATAAGGACACAGAAAGTCAATAGCTTTGTCCACCTCCTTTGAAAGAGAGTAAGATTATTTCAACTTTGTGAAGTTTGAATGATAATAGAGTTGTTGACATGCCATCTCTCCACAATGCGGTTTTCTGTCTTTTTTTGTAAGATTAGCTTACAAATGACATGGGGTTACTTTTTGTTATGTTGGATTTGTTTTGTGACTGATACATTTGTCTTCCTCCGCAATCTCTGAAATCAATAATTTTTGATGAAAGGTAGATGAATTAATTAGATGTATAAATCCAAAACTCTTCTAGATCCAGCAATAAATTTAAGAAACATGACCAAAAAAATGTTTCCTCAGAAATGAAGGATATTTCAACTGTCCACCTAGGCACGTCCTCACATCCCCTACCTGACTCTGTTCATCCAAAGAAATGCAGGCACACAGAATGCAGAGCAGTGAAAAAGGAAACATGCATGTATTGTGGTTGCACAGCCAGATGCTGGACGCTCTCTGTGACTTATGAAGAACTGAGGGCCCTTTGGTCTTTATGCGTGAATCATAGAACAAATGGGTAGCAGCTGCTTCAGATAGATCATTTTAGAAGGAATGAATTCGTTCTGGAGTAACCTTCAAACTTAGCATAGGAAACAAGCACCATTAAAATATTTGTTTTCAGTTATGGATGTTTTAGCTTTGGAAAAAGTGGATGTGACTCGAGTACTTCTTTGAACTCCAAATTCCCCCACAAAGGCAGCTGTTTGAGCCTGTGTTGTAATTCACTCTCTTTTTATGTTCTCACATCTGTTTAAGTTAGAATGGACCCCACGCATGATTTTTCTCTTGGGTAAAATACCAGAAGGCTGAGGGAAAACAGAATTATTATGGGCATTGAAAGCAGGAGTGTATGGGAAAGGAGCAATATTCAAAAGCAGCTTTGCCAAGGTGCAATTCCCAATTTGTGCTGAAAGATGTTTTGAGTAGATCAGAAGTGGTGCAGTAAGGATTTTTTATGACATTGAAGCCGAATTTAATGGACTGCCATTAAAAGCCATATGTTCAAAACAGAAAATTTGCTCTTGTTCAGCAGCCAGGCATTGGTCAGGCATGGTGCTAGGAAGCAAGAGAGACAAAGGAAGAAAAGTATAATTTCTTTCTCAAATATAATTTCAATCTGGCTCTAAGAGCAAAATGCATTCATAGAAGAGAAAGCAGCGAGACACTGTATCGAGGGGCACTGTGCCGGGCTCTGAAGATTAAATGGAAGGAAGGCCTAGAGTCATCACATCCAGAGCTTATTTGTAAAACTGCTGGGG